GCAAATAATTGCTGTGGAGAGTTTTGTGAAATGAGACACCCCCTTCCACAGTCCATTTCTTTTTATCTTTATGCAAGAAGTGGAGCACCTCAAGATTTTTCCATTGCCAAAGTTAAACAGGAAGTTCCCAGGAAGGAGCTCTGCTAAGAGGTGTAAGAGAGGTGGGTGTGCTAGAGGAGTTTAGAAGGAAAAAAGAAAAGCCAGCGGATTTCTGAGTTTTGGGTCGAGAGAGAAATAGTGGTTTCCCTGTCATCACAACTGCACAGCCAACCAATGTGATTTATTGGTAATTGTTAATTAATACCAATAGCTGGGGAAACAGAACAGCCTACAGATTCCAAAACAAATCTAAATACTTGTGGGCTATTTGCTGGATTTAAACGAGGTTATTTCATCACAATTTTGAACTTTGTGAGACACAAAGAACTTAAAAGTAGCTTTTTGGGTGCTTGTTTGTTTTTTGTACCCATGTCTGGGTCACTTTTATAAGAAAAGTACTAGAAAAAAAAGAAGTGCATAGAATAGCTATAACCTAACTAAAATTCTGCTGTAATTACTTCTTTCTGCACAAGTAAAAATTGATCATTGACCAAAACGTGAATATGATGCTTTCATACAGACTAGTAGATGTTCTGTGGTATTTTTCACTGCCAGAGTTTCGGGAACAAACCCCATATCCACTTGTATCTCTAAGTCCAGCTGACCACTGATGAGAGAAAGGTTGGACAAACTGGGCAAGAGGAAGTCAAATGGGCTCCCAACCCATTAAAAACTGAACCAAGTTCTAGGTCCTAGAAGCATGGGGACCACTTGGGGGGTAAAGTTGCAGAAAAAGGAAGTAGCTGCCCTGTGGGGTCTCTGGGTCAGACTGTTGTTTTCCATGGCCTCTCTCCAAGCAGTTCTAACAGTCTCAATCCTTAATTTCAAAACCAAACTAAAAAATAAAACTTGCTAATGCAGGTTTGTTTTTTAAGATTTTAGCTCTGTAGATGTTATCTATTAACTGTAATGCTTTACAGAGCCTTACAACCTAGCATATAGCCCTTGAACTCTTCAGCCACAATAGAAAGCTTTTTGAGGAGCCAGGAAATTCCACTCAGCACAATGCCAATAAACTGAATTAATAAGTGAGGGTCTTCTGTTTCTAGATCCTCGAGTCTTGTGAGGCTTGCTTACGCTAATTCTCTAGGTCTATAACCTATTAAAAAAAATCTCTTCTTGAAAAGGATTAACAATAAGTGGCTAAAAAATAGAACATCTCTCCTTAATTTTTCTGCCATCCAAAAGGTCAGCACTAGAGTTCAACTCTCGTCTAACTCCTCATTCACCGAGTGATGCCAATTCCTCCTCTGGGGAAAGCACAGAAAGTAGCTCCCTTTCTGGAAAGGTAAGCAAACCACTTCTGATTCAGATCTTGACTCACTAGCATCCCCCTTATCCCCATTCTCTGAGCAATCTTCCTACCAATTCTATCCCTCTCAGGTACCTTCTAAAACAAAGGGAATTCCTCCTTCCAGGAGATACTGTAACAAAGGGAATTCCTCCTTCCAGGAGATACTGTAGCAAAGGG